TAGGCTTTCGAGCCTATACAGCTTGGAGTAAGACAACATGTATGAAGAGGATGATGTGGACAAAATACTCATTTGCCTAATAATTCTGCACTCCCTGTATAATAATACATCCAGACACAGTCATTAATACTCATACACTTCAATCTTTAGTCACAGACATTTACCAAACAAGGGTTTAAGGACTCATAGTCACGAGGATCAGGCTTACTGCCTACTGACAGTGACAGTTTATTTTAGTTTTTTATTTTATCCAAGGGCACAAAACCAGATCACATTCTCACTTTCTCTCCATGTGCTAGTAGATTAGTCATCCATAGGTGTGAGGACAGGGCTGTGAACCTGCATTTTGTCAGGTTGACAGAGAGTTAAACATGAAGTCTGGGACAAATCATAAAGTTTCTCAAGTGTGACATTTGGTTAAACAATCGTCACGGGCGATTAGACTGTAGATAAGACAGGGGACTTTGGATATGTGAGGCAATCCCTTCAAAACAAAAATAAACAGGTATAATTTTTTCTTTAAGGACTTGGTAGGAAATTGTACAAGGCTAGTTTGGTTCCTGTCTTTAAGGATATTATTGTTTCTGTAGAGACTCCACAAGTAAGTTCACATTTTCCTCTTGTGCTTGTTGCCATGAGGGATACATGTAGTTGTTTACAGAATAATTTAAAAAATCTCCTCATTCCCGTTAAACAAGGAAGGCAGGAGACTTTACTTTTTTGCTGCAGATGGCTGCACCAATGTAAGAAATGCAAAAAATGTCAACATCTGTTACGAATCATCGGTGTTCAGAATGATATAAACCACACCTTCCAGATCCTCTTACCCACAGATTGATGCACCATCTCTATAACAGCCTACATTCACAAAGACATTATATACTGTAACGGTCTGTCTTCTGTTTACCCACATGTGCAGACATATATATTTACTCCATGTTTTTCTCTGAGTATTTCTCTAAAATGTTCCCGTGCCCTTGCTCCATGCACTTCTTTCCATTCTGTTCTTACCCTGCTCGTTCTAACAGGTTGATCCATGGCGCTTCTCTTGGCATCCGTTATTCCGGATCTTTTCTAGCTAGCCTGACAAGTTATGAGTGATGATGATTCTCCTGCCAGGAAACCAGGAGACCTAAACCTGTCCCATTCTGCAAGACTGATGGATGCTTGAACCAGGACTAGTTATCAAGAGACAGCCCGAGTCTTACATTTGATTTGAATGTGATTTTTAGTCAGACCAGTGTATTTACTTCCTGTATTTAGGTTATGGATAAAAAATATAAGATATGCTAAATGCTGCACATTACAGGAGACATGATGACAATAATTAAGCATCCATCAATTTGAGTACATTACATTACATGAGTTTTTCAAAGTTTGTAATGTAATTGTTGCTTGTAAATACATTTATCTAATCATGTCTTTATACATTTATCAACACATTTAAGAAATGTCTACAAAATACAGTAGATGTGTAACACACACAAATTTTCACACATTTTTAAAAAATCCAGTGAAGAAAAACAGCAAACAATATTTAGCCTCTAATTTTCCTTCATACAAGTTCACCAATATTTTTTATTTCGATTGTAGTAAAGTGCAGATGAGCCAAATTTATATGTATCTTACACTATGTCTCTTTGTATGCCCTCAGTTCATTTGTCTGAAACATCTGCCTTTCCTGATTGGCCACTCGGCTCAAACAAAGGGTTTGAACAGCTTCTTTGTATGTAATTCTTGTGCTTGAGAGGACTATGTTAAAGATACTCCTTCTGTTTGACATCATGGAGAGCCAAGTCTGAAGCCTGAGCTTTTGGTTCACAGGGATCACTTCAAACACTGACTAAGCTTTTGAAACTTTGGCCATGTTTGATATAAGAATCCATCACTGCGCACTCTGTTTATATGAAAGAAAGTCACAAAATCAGAAAGAAAAACCCCTAGAAAATGCACAACATTTGTTACAGAATATGTTTTATGTGTGCATGCTTGTGCTTTACACTGGTGTGTGTGTGCATAGTGTATATGGGCACATGCATGTTCCCGGGAATGTAAACACATTTTAAGACTTCCTGTCCGGGGATGAAACTGAAGAGAGCTTTAGAGAGTGAGGGAGGAAGGTATTAAGCCCAAGCCGCTGAATGAAGAGAGAGACTAAAAATGATGGAAAAAGAAGGAGAAATAGGAAAAGAGAAAAATAAGAACACACTGACACAGGTGAGATTTACAAACACAGATGGAGAGGCCAATAGACAGGAGGGTGTTTGAAAAATTTGGAGATATTCAGAATGGGCAAGTAGATCTCGTTCACAGATTTACGCACAAAACAGAAATGGAATTCTACCTGATGATGAACTGCTTAACGCAGAAAGACAACTTCCAGAAACGGGGATGAAGATACAAAGTTGCAAAGGTCACTGAAAGCTGAAGTATCCTTGGACAACGATGAAGGAATTTTGGATTAGGATTTAAAGACACCCCAGTTTCATCATAGTTAACTTCAGAGTTACTCATTTGACTGATCTCCTTTTTCTCAGCAGGTATGTCATATAAAATTTCTATTTTATTAAAAAATTGAAAACTTAATGAAGTGTTTCACCAAGTTAGATTTTTGTGAACTGTTTCTTAATCAGGGTGTGCTGAAACACCAATGGCAAGCTTTTAGTCCAATCGTGAGTACATATGTCTCTAAAATCAGAGTTGTCTTGAAGGGTTTAAGTGAAACTAGGAAAAAACATAATATATCACTGTCACACTCCATAATTTTGCCTTATTTGTTTTCTTAAATGCTGTCTTTTAGATGATCAGTAGCACACACACACACAAACACACACACACATAAAGCCAGACTCCCACGCTGCTAGGATTTATTTGCACAGTGTTATTTTGGATCTTCCTCTGAGCCCTCTCTTTTCCTCCCAGTATCATTTTACAGTCATTGCATCATGACTGTCTTTGATTTTGGAAGAAGAAGAGCAACAATAAAATGGAAACAGCGATGCATTAGATTACATCTGGGTTGCCTAATGTTGCGGTATTACAGTACAGTTACACTAGGCAGTATTTTAGCTTATAGCAGATAGAGAGTGTGAGCCCTACTGTAAATTTTATTTTAAATTAATAGCATTTTAATTTTCCTACCATAAATCTTTACTTGATGGCCCATGATGGCAATAGAAGAACAAACATGAGCTCGTCGTGCTGTTAGGGTTGCCTAAGGATTCCAATCATGTTATAGCTGTATCACATGTATTAACTCTTACATGCTTTATTTGACATTTGACATCAGTAAAAATATCCTAAATGTCATTCGTTTAGCCTGAAAAGTGATGACTTGAGAGGGTCAGTCAATTTATACGATTGCAGGTGCTACTAGATTTTGTACATTGAGGCTGTTTCAGGTTAATTTTGAGCCGCGTCTGTTGAGATGCATTCTAGATCCACTCGTGTGGGTCAAATCACAGAAAATTGTGGATTTAGGGAATCTTGAAACTATGTGTGTATTTTCTATGGGATAGTGGTGACAGAGTTCGAGGGTGACCTTGACACTGTGTTCCCACCACAGCTGCCCAGGTTCCCACAGAGGTAGGCACTTGCTGGTCTGGAAATAGTAAAAAAAAAACAAAAAACATAGAAGTGATCATATGTATGATGCACATAAGGAACAGAGGACATACAGAGGTCAGATGGTGCCTTGATACAGACACAAGATGTGCACCCGCAAGAGCAAGAAGCAACAATGTAACTAAATAATCTAAAAATGAAGAAAGTAGAATCCCTGTATTCTGAACTTCTGAGATTAAATTAGGTGACAGCTAAATTAGATTACAATAGAACTCAGAAGAGGAATAGGGAGTGGGTAGATCAGAGCTAGGTGGTATCTTATTGCTGTTTTGGATACACAGACTAGTTTGCAGTTATACAATAAGCAGTAGACATGATGTTTAATGGTTATAATGTATAATAAATCCCAACAGTTCCAGAGTGATCTCGCCATTTTTACTTTCAATAAAATATATTTAAACAATTATAGCTGCAATGTTTTTATTATTTAGATTAAATAGGGCATGATGTTGTGTGATAGTTTTTTTTTTTACAAAACCCCAAAATATACACTTTCTCATGCTCTGTGAAATATTATTTAATTTAATATTGTCTCATAGGCTATTTATAAAGTCTAAAGCATTTCATTTTGGATCCTGTGAAGACACGGTTTATGAACAGTGTGTAAGGGCAAACTAAATGCAACTGGCTGTAGTTACGGGTGTCACAGGAAAATGTCTGACTACATTTCTAAGAGTGAAATCTAAGTGGAAAACCTTTAACAAACTGAAAAGAAAAATTCTCAAAGAATGTTTGGGAACAGTTTTTAAGTAACTCTTAAATGCACAAGTTATTAGAAATAAAGAAGAAATGACAACAGGGCTAACTTTTTTGCCATTCTGCTGAAACTTACACATAGTTCATGGGTTGCTTAGAATGAATAACACTCATATTTGTGCATATATCATAAAAGAGAGAGAAAGAAGCAAGTGCCTAAATAAAAACTTTCCTCAGAGTGCTCCACTATAACGCTTGTAAGCACTGTTAATAATGATGAACTAGGTCAAATAAGCTGACTAATATCAGAGGGTGTTACTGTGAAAACACTCATTTATTTCCTTCAGTGCTCTTAATGTTGTGTGGCTAGACTGCTCCGGTTCATGCAGATGAATCACATTATTCATGCCTCACCCTCAGTTGAGCATGTTATTCCCATTAGCATGAATAGACTACATTTTTCATCAGCCGGATGATTATTTTGCTAAGAGATTTGTTGTAAGCAAGGAGCACAAAACACAAACTCCGGGCATCACATACACTGGGCTTCTTAAACCTTTCCAGTGTGGCACTCACAGGAGCAATTAAACTGCATTTGTCATGGAAGACAAAGGATGCAGGAGTGAAATCCAGCTCATTTATGCGAAACATCATGCGACTTTGGCCTTTTTTAGTGCTTTAAATGCCAGTAGATTCTCCATGAGATTGATTCTGTAACCTTTTTCTTCTCCTTCACAGTCTTCATCTCAACACGCTACTGCTGTCCTGTTGGCTTTAGGTGTAAAATCCTCAGATCACTTTTAGTAAAAGTCACTTAAAGTAAAATAATTAAAGTAAATAAACATACACACGCCAGTTCAAACAGGGGCTAATTAATGTAGCCATGAAATGACTCTCTTACTATAGATCTAAGCTTTTGTGAGCTATTTAAATGGAAAAGAAAACAAATGATCTATCTCTTTTTTATTATGATTAAATGAAAAGGTCCCTGGATGTCCAGAGTAATGACATGTTGTTTCTGTACTTTGTGAGAGGGTTATATCTTGGCCAATAAGAGCAAAAGTATTTATTTTTTATTTGTAATAATAGCTGGAATGAGAATTAATCCTAGCCCCTCAGGGAGTATTGCTGTAGTGATAAATAAATATAGTTACATTATAAATATATGGGTTCAACAAGCCAGATATTGGTTTAAAATAGCCATGCCAGTGTATCTGTGACACCAGCAACAGCCAGTATGAGGTCAGAGACAGAGAGAGTGAGCATCAGAGAAAAGGAGGACAGTGTGTGTCCCTATGTTTCTCTGTAGATGCTGAAGTCAAACATAGAAAAGAGGAAGTAACATAGTACAGCAAGGCAGGCCTTTAGAGGTGATGTAAGTGTAAAACTGCAGGTTTCTGTTTAAACATGAAAACTAATGCAACTAATGCGTGGATCTGTCAGTAAATGTGGTGTATATATCTCTCTATAAAACTTGTATTATTCTCTCTGACAGTTTCCACTTTATCATCCGTGTCATCCTCACAATCCTCATCAGCATCATTAAGGCGGCTTATCACCTCATCGCACATCATGATGATGAACAGTAATGGTACAGAGTCCTGGCTTTTCATCAACACTTCCTTTAATACACCTCAAATATCGGGTCCAGCAAACACAAGTGGTATGGAAAGATATCTTCAAAGACTGGCACATTTAGATGAGGGGCTCTACAATGACTTCTATGGCCTTTGGATTGCACTGGTGGTCATAAACTCCCTTATTTTCCTGGTAAGGTGTTTTGACGAAGGCTTTTTAATGTTGCACATAATTTCTATGTTGAAATTTAATATCTCTTACTAATTTTCCTTGCATCTATCTTTTAACTCTTTTGGTTTTTCAGGTGGGCATGGTGCTCAACATAGTTGCACTTTATGTTTTCTGTTTCCGCACCAAGCAAAAGACCACCTCAGTCATCTACACCATCAACCTGGCCGTGAGTGACCTCTTGGTGAATCTCTCTCTACCGACTCGCATCCTGCTCTACTACAGTGGAGGAGCTTGTATCACCTGCTCATATCTGCACATCTTCAGCTACTTTGTCAACATGTACTGCAGTATCCTGTTTCTAACCTGCATATGCGTCGACCGGTACCTTGCCATTGTGCAGGTGAGTGTCGTCTGTAGCTTGGTTACACAGTCGTGCTTTTGAAAATGCTAGACACTTGCACATTCTGTTCTGTCTTTGTAGGCTGAAGCCTCTCGTCGCTGGAGGAACTCCAGTGTGGCCAAATGTGTTTGCATTTCTGTATGGCTGTTTGCCATTGTGGTTACCTACTCCTTTCTTTCCACCGCTTTTCAGCACACAGGCTGCTGTCTCTCAAAGCTCCTCTTTCTCACCATCACTGAGTTCTTTCTACCACTTGTCATCATTGTGGTCTTCACTTTGCGCATTATGTGGGCCTTAACAGACCGTCGTCTGATGCAACAGAGCAGGTAGGTAGAACTAATATTGCACTGACAGATGGCGGGAAAGAAAACTAAAGTTGTTTTTCTTGTATTGAAGAAAATAAAGTGCATCCACAAAATATTCAGAGGAAATCACACACTGGCTCTGAATACTTATATACATGTTATGTTTTTGTTTTTTGTTTTAAATTTGCAAGAATTTCAAGCAAACCTTTTTCACATTGTCATTATGGGGCATTGTGTGCAGAATCTCGAGTGAAATGTAAATAAATCGATTTTGGAATAAGGTTGTAACATGACAAAATGTGGAACAAGTGAAGCGCTCTGAATACTTTTAGGATGCACTGCATTAACTGTTTACATGGATTCTCTCCAGTTATTCCAGCTTCACCGTGTAGTCCTAAGATGTGCAGGGGGTTTGTTAAATGTTGATTTTGAACTGAAATTGGGTTTGAATGTGAGCCTCTTTGTTCCATGTGTGTATGTGAGCCGTCTGTCTGTCTTTGACTCACTGACACATAGGATAGTTTATATCCCATAAAAATGCAGATAATGGTATCTTTAACTTTATTTTCTCAGGGATAGGAGAAGGAAAGCTGTCCAGCTGTTGACAACTGTGCTGATCATCTTCACAGTCTGTTTCACACCCTTTCATGTTAGACAGGTGAGCAACAAGTATTTGCAACAAGTATATATAAAGTAAAAGGCCAAGTAGTATTAATGATTGTATTCTCCCTTATGAAACTGTGGATGCTTTCAACTTTATTCTCTAAAAGGATTACAAATGAACAAATGTGAGGCAGAAAACCAGCCTTTGCTTGAACTACTCATAAATTATGTCCATGCTTGGGTGAACCTTGACCCTGCATTGTGGGTCACCGGTAGGTTCAGGACAATTTTGATTAGACAATATTACCAGGTGATAAAGCAACAAAAGAAAAATCTATATATATATATAACATAAATATATAGACAAAAATACATGTACAATATTTCAAACCAATATTGACATGTATTAAAAAGACAGAAAGTTTATGTATACACACACATACAGTATACACACAGTACACAGTCCTCCATTTTCAGCAGCTCAAATATAATTGGACAACTTCCTGATAAATAATTTTATGGTCAGATGAAGCCTGTTTCCTCACTAACACTCAGGAGGTTCATGTATCATTGTCAGAGTCTGCAATCAATGTAAACACAAAGGGTTTACAGCAAGGTGCAAATCCACTGGTTAAACTTAAGGACAGGAAGGGCAGATTAGACTTTGTCAGAAACCATCTAAAAGAGCCTGAGCAGTGCAGGAAAAGATTATTTGGACAGATGACACAAAGATTAACTTGTACCTGAATTGTGGGAAGAGAAAAGTATGGCGAAGCAAAGAAAAAGCTCATGATCCAAAGCATACCACGTTATATGTCAAACATGGTTGGAGCCAGTGATATCGCATGGGCATGTATGGCTACCAGTATAACAGGGTCATTAGTATTTATTGATGATGCAACTGCTAACAGAAGCAGCAGGATGAACTGTGAGGTGTGCAGGGCTGTACTCTGATCAGATCCAGACAGCACTTCATGGTGACAAAAACCTTACCGCAGAAGCAACCAGAGCGTTTCCCAAGACAAAGAAATCGGACAATGTTCAATGCCCAAGTCAGTCAACCCAGTAGAGCAGGCTTTTCAGTTACCAAAGACAAAACTGAATTCAGAAAGATCCACAAACAGACAGCTACTGAAGATGACTGCAGTAAAGTCCTGGCAGAGGAGAAAACTGAGCATTTGGATATAAATGGCTTCTAGACTTCAGGCAGTCATTGACTGCAAAGTTAACATAAAATACTAAACTAAAATACAATAGAATGTCATTTTAAAAAAGCTGAATACAAAAGTAGGGAAAATAGTAAGGATCTCAAAGTTATAATTTTAATAAAATACAACAAAGATAAAAACAGTAAACAGTGAAACACAATAAACATATTAATGAAATGAACGTTTTTGTTTGACCAAATGATAAAAATGTATTTGCTTTTATGGGAACATTTGGCATTGCCTGTTTGTGCTGCAGGTGGTGGTATACTTCTACCCTGACATGCCTCACCATGTGATAGTGTACCATCTAACTGTCACCCTCAGCAGTTTGAATAGCTGTATGGATCCTGTTGTCTACTGTTTTGTTACAAATAATTTCCAGGTAAGACTGAAGCACTTTTCCTATTCTCTTCCTCCACATTCTTTAACCTAACTTGACATTTTTCTTCTTTTCTCCACATCCACCTGTCCCTTCAGGTGTGATATGCCCATCATCATTTTTTTACTCATTGATTCTCCAAATAATTTACTTCTCCTGCTGTCTCCAGGCCACTATGAGACATCTTTTCCGCCGCGCAGAGCCCAAGCAGACCAGTGGTGACATTGTCAGTATGCAGCACAGCTCTAAAGCCTCAGCAGGGACGGACAACGCCATGACTAATAATGTTATATTGATGACCAAGATTCTCAGATCACTGCAGAGCAGCAACACAGGAAAGGACCGCACACTGTAAAATATTTTACAAAGGGTGCATAAAACTATAAGTTATAGGGATGGCACAGTTAAAGTTCTGAGTTCTGCAACTTGCTGACCAGCAGAACTCAACACAGACACTCAGTGCTGCCATTGTTTTTTTCAATGATGAGCGCCAACACAATAACATGCAGATATTCACATGTATATGATATTCACACCAAGAAACATTGCCATCACTCTGGACTGACTTTTCATTTGTCAATGTCTATAGACACTTGGTCAATTTAGCCAACTGCCCTCTGGATATTATTAGAAACTACACAAGAAAATGTCTCAATAAAATGGTAAATATTCCAGTGTTGTCTGTTTTCCTTTTATTTCTGCCATTCAATTTAGCAGAAATAAGATGCATATTCATCAGTGGCGCGGTGTCACTCTTACAGAAAGGTGAGACTCTTTAACAAGATGAACTGGACCAGATTAAAACAATGTGCTCGCAACCTCTTGCTGGACTCTTCCTGGCTGAAAAATTGTAAAATGTTATTCTTTCTATAGTTTTCATTTAAATACACTGCTAAACAAAATGTGTTTGGCCTCTGACATTTTTCCCTCCTTATCTTTTCTGGCTGTTTTTTTCATCAGTTTTGCATGTGACTAGACTCAGTGTCAATGCTGGTAGCATACGACAATACCTGGACCCTACAGAGGTTGCACGGGTAGTCCAATCCTCCAGGATGCCAGAAGGTTTGCTGTGTCTTCCAGCAGAGACTCAAGAGCATGGAGTAGATTCTAGGAGACAGACAGTTACATTAGAAGAGCTGGAAAGTGTTTTAAAAAGTATTTAACCCATCAGCAGAACTGGTATCTGCTCCTTTGTGCAAAAAGCAGATATCAGGAAGAAGACTGCCAGAGCCCTACAAAATGACCACTAGCAGGCGTCCAGTATGAATGTCTCTGACCAATCATTCACAGACAAACTTAATGAGGGTAGCTTTACTCAGTGGGCCCTGTGCTTACTGTCAGGACATTGGAGCCTAATTGATGTTTACCGTATAATATCAAAATTTGCCACTGCGGCCCTGAACTTTTCTTGCAGGGTCACCCTGAGGATTAACCCTGAGGCATGAAAGGTTCTCGAAAAGCCATGGAGAACGTTATACTGGCTTTAACATTGTTCAGCACGACTGGTTTGGGGATGGGTCAGGCATGAAAAGGCTTATGGAGGGATGCACAGACCTCTACAGGCTAGGTTACCCACCCTGAATGATATTTGGTATCAAAATGAAATCTTATGTTCACCTGACTTAAATTCAATGGAACGCCTCTGGGATATTACGGCCATCCAAGTTGTCCTGTCCTGTCGAGTAGCTGATGCCTTCGTCCAGATCTGGGAGGAGATCCTCCAAGGCACCATAAGTTTCCTCATCCTTGTTAGGCATGCATGCAAAAAGGCCATACATAAAGCCATACAACATATTGAGTAACATTTGGAATTGTTGCAATGAAATTTCTGAAAAACGGACTAGGCTGCTACATCATTTTTTCAATTTGGTTTTCAGGGCATCTTTAAATGCAGTTCTCTGTTGGTTGATCGTTTTCATTTCTGTCAAACAATGTGGGATCCTTTCTTTCCTAACACATTACCCAGTCCACATCAGTACAGGCAAACTTTTGAGCAGTGTCGTTACCATTTATAGAACTATTAGTTTAGCAAATGAAGCAATCAAACACTTAGAAAATACCTGACTGCCCATTAAACTGTATCAATGGAAAACTGTACATTAGGTGTGTCAAAAGTAAAAGTACTCATCCTGCACCAAAAAATTCCCCATCAGTGATATATGGATCAGTATTGCTGCTCCTGATATTTAAGGTGGAGCTCATTTTAAACACTTGTTCTCTTGACTGTTCACTTTATAGGTTGACAAAGTGGATCATCTGCCTCCATCTCACCCTATATCTAACATCCTCTTCTGTCTGCATTTCCTCCTTCACTACATCCACGAACCTCTTCTGATGTCTTCTTCTTTTCCTCCTGCTGGCAGCTCCATTTTCAGCATTGTTTGTCCAGTATATCCATCATTTCTGCCCGCCATGTGTCCAAATCATCTCAGCCTTGCCTCTCTAACTTTGTCCCCAAACAGCTCAACTTGTGCTGTTCCTCTGATATATACTAATTTCTAATCCCATGCAATCTTTAACCAGCTCAGAAACTGAGATGTGAATTTAAAAAGTATATTAAATACGTTTTCTCTTCTTGTCTTTCTTTAATAGTGAGGGCATTTTCCTCCTCAATCCCCAAACAAGTAATATAATCAGAACATATTAGAGAATAATAACTACTGATGTACACCAGGGAGCAGCATTGCCTATTCTTTGAAAAAACCAATGGAGAACGAGCCCGAAGGAAACTTCAGCGCATTGGAAACCGCTTGGACGAATGATTCTGTGAATGTAAGCACAGGGTTGTTTGTTTGTTTATGTATTTATTTATTTTTTACAACAGAGTATAATATTATGCGATTTTTAAATAGCCTGAAGAACTGATGGCTTCTAATTAATCAATCTTCAGAGCCTGTTTTTGAAGCTCTAGATCACAATAAATGTATATTGGAGCAGGGAGGAAATTAACCGAATTAATGGTCAAGTTAGTCAAAGTCAATGGTTTAGGAACAACATATAGGAACATATATAGAGCTGTAGGACCAAGTTCTAGGAAGAGTCGAAAGCGTGCTAGCTAATAAATAAAAGAGTAAATGAATTAATGAATTATGAATAAATAAATAAATATCCTCCATTATGACTTTGTGAATTGTCTTTTTTTGCCAGTTCTTGAGGTCCATTATTGTTGACATATTTTCATTTCTTTATGTTATCAATCCATGCAATTTTCCATGCAGTTGGTTCCACTTATATCATGCTAGCTAGTTGCCCTTTCACCGGCGTCCATAGGTGAGGCGTTCGCTGACGTCACGAAGGTTTTCTGATGGCCACGCCCCGCTGTGTTAATGTGGAAACCATTGAAATTGGTGAGTGTAGTAAACCCTATGGTCACCCAGTTAGCTTGCAAAGGTTTTGCAAACCTAAAGAAGTGAGAGGTTTTTTTTTCTTCTTCTTATTTTTTTTTTGTGCTAACACGTCATAGAAGTTTTCCACAATGCGGAACTGGCTGAGCTTTACCACAGCGCTGTAAAATCTCAGGTACGTTACACGTTCCTGTCTGTCATGAAAGTGGGTTTCTCCGCTATTAACTCGCTAACGTAAGCTGCTTAATATCAGCCAAGCCTAGCTTGCTAAGGTAACTTTTTGCGTCAGTCAAAGTCAGGTTAACGGTAATGCGCCTGAATTCTGGTGTTTTTCCTCTCAGTCCAGACGAGAATACACTTTTATCGCTGTGCGCCTTATTCGCATAAAACGGCAAATAATTTTTAATATATTAATTTATTATTTATAGACTGGCAGGTAGTTCAGGTGAGGCAAAACATGTCATAACTGGTCCAACGAGCCCCTCGGACCTTCACGTGTACACACAGTCCTGTGAGAATTCAGCTCGCACACCTCGATGAAGTTTAAAAAAAAGTTACCTTTCTACATTAATTTGTTTGGATTACTAACTAAACACAAAAACACTTTGATCTGTCTCTTTGTGAAAATGACAGAAAACTGCACAAAGCTCTCATTAAACATCAACTTGATCAACATGATCTAAGCTTTTTTTCATATTGCTCAACTCAGAAGAGCCAGGCAGAAAATGAATAAGTAAAGAATAGAAGAATGGTCTTTGCCATGCTCTCTTGTAAGGTATGTGTCAATAGGATCTGCTTGCTTTCTGCTCCACTTACGCAACAGCAATAGTGGTGTAATAATGGTTTATTTTTTAATGTGGCTCTTGTCTATGAGTCTGATTTTGCTATTATGACTTAAAGGTTCTAGATAGTGGCGATGTCACTGTATTTAACAGAGCAATCTTGGGTTAATTCAGTCTAAGTTTTTTGATCGTTTGGCCCTTTATTTGAGTCTATGATGCTTATACTTATTGTAAATTATTTGTTATGTCTTACGTCTTAATTTATACAAACCCATTATGGGGTGAACCTCTCAAACCCTAGACTAAGGGAATCAGGTGTCTCTGTTCGAACTCTTAGGCCTTTTGTTGGCAGTGTCTGGTTCCACTTATTCCCCTTGAAAAGAGAGTTGTAAGATAAGAAAATTAAATCCTAAGGGCACTGATCTCTTCCAGGATGATGATAGATATGAGAGTGCTAGGAGTCTATGACCTTCACTGTCACCAGATCTGAACCAAACTGGATACCTGTGCATTGGTATGGGTTGATCTGTTTGACCACTCTCTCCATCAACATCATCTTATCATTAAGGGAGGTATTATCTCTTTGAGTAGTGGCTCTGGGAGTTATACAATTAATATAATGTATTGTATTCTAATTTTTGCTACATAAGTTTTGTTTTGTCCACTTCCTGCTGTGACAAAACAAATTTCCCACGTGTGGGACTAATAAAGGTTATCTTATCTTATCTTATCTTATCTTATCTTATAAGGAGGGAATAAAGCAATTCTGGGGGAAGATGTTGCTACAGCACCCTTCTAGGACAGTGGTGTATTTTTTTTTTTCATTCACACTAGAATTTACTTGCAGAAATAACAGTTCATTAAAAAATCTACTTAATAATAATAAGACTTCTGTATCAGCATTTGGAGACTGAACAGATTTTCTGGAAAATGCACTAACAGGTTTCCCTGTTTAAATCAAGGTAAAGCTACATCCTGTGTTGTCATAGCTTTAGCTTTTTGCACAGCTGGTATCTGTTTTTTTTGTTTGTTTTGTTTTTGCAGGTTAATTTGTAACATTATTAGTAGGAGTTTACTGAGAAATCTCAAGATATTTTAACCTGGACTTGCCTGACTAGCACAAACTTTCTTAGTTGGACTTGCCCAAACTTCATGCACACAGCCACTTCTATTCAGGAGTTCACTGCAGGTCACCACCACAAACATCTGCTGGAGACCATAAAACACTTATCACCCCACCTCGCCTCTCTTACACTCTTCCCTACCCATCACCATTAAATACTTTTGGAGATGTGCTAAAACTGTGATTGTTCTCGCCTCTGTGTTTCTTTTGCTTTGACCTTAGTAGTGACTTGTTAGTCTTCTGAAATAGCTTTATCTTCTCATGAGCTATAAAAAATCAAGGTGAAAACTATGCCTATTACATTTTTTGACAGTGATAAGATGGTAAGATTGTGCTTGTATTTATAGGAAAAACTGTGGCACAAAGACATATATACTGATCTATAACAGCCACAAGCAAATGGTTCCCCTGAAGTCAAACCAGACTGAAATGGAGATGGCAGCTGAGGGTGGAGATGCTTCTCGTCTTCCAGAGATCAGAAGACCCAAAGAAGAAGAAGCATATGACAGTGAGAGTGAGACAGACATGGACGAGGAAGGCAGAGGAGTACGAATCCCTCTGCATCGCTGGGTAATGCACGGGACAGTGATGTTTGGACGTGAGTTTTGCTATGCCATGGAAACCGCTCTGGTAACACCAGTTCTGCTGCAAATAGGTAGGAGACACAACACAGTTTTTTCCTTATCCAGTAGTTAGTTATCTTAGTGACACATTTGTGGCAGCATTCTCCTAATCACTGTCAAAAAACTTGAAGAATGGTTGCAGTGTAGCAGCGATTATGCTGTGTTTGGTTCACTATCTATATAACAATAGCTGGATTTGATTTGCAGTGAAGCTAACCACTGTTATCCAAACCAGATGCACATCAGTCTGTGGTTGTGGTAGTAGTCAGGTAACAGTGGTGACTTTGTGGAATTTGATTGTTGTCACAATTCATTGGTTTCAGGGCTGCTCTTCTGTATCATGTAGCCCGTATCTCTACTCAAGCGGGGAGCTTTGTGGTTTGATGTCAAGTTAGCAACCATAACAGACCTGGAACAAAAGCATTTTTTACTGGTTAGGTATGAGAAGAATGTTTAACACAGCACATTTCACTTTTCTGCTCCATTAACAACATGATAAGACTGACTGATTCTAATTAACGTGTCTGATTGGGTAGTTATTTTTTCATATGCCAATGGAGTTTATTGCTAAACCTGTTGAATGTAAATGATCTACCAAGTAATATTGGTTATAGATGACAACGGATTATTGACATAGGATTTTTTTTTAAGTTATTGAACTGAATCAGCCTCACTTATTTTTTGGAATGGATACGTTTTAAGCTAATTACATTAGAAAAGGAGAAATCTTTATGCTTTTTCTTTGCTTTTTAAAGCTTCAGGACTTGCAAACGATTGTGTTAAGACTGAAAGACACTGCTGAGCTGGTGAAACATCAGGATTTGTTTTGTCTTACCACTCATACTCTTGCTTACTTTGCCATAGCCAACACCTTTAAAACAAACATTCAGCAAGTGCAGTTCATTTTATGCTGGGACAGGTTGTAATTTTGAACTTACCTTTGATTATTGCCAAATAAATGCATCCATAGCTTGTTGAAATCCCAGGGTTCTTGACTGAAGATGTGTTTAGAAAACTGTTTGACATTGCCTTTAAGCACAGTAAATGTGTTTTATTAACTTGTTGCAGATACACAACTTTGTTCATGTTTCTTTGTTCACAGTGCACAAGGTATGTTTGTAACCTAAAACTCAAGTGAAGTATAGACACGATTTTTCTTGTCTCATGGGTTTATCATGCTTTTACTTACCGTATGTGTATTTTTTAGCTCAGACAAACATTTAGAGTTTTCTTCCCCATGTACTTGTATTGGACACACAGAGACACATTCATGTATAACTACTTCATTAGTGAAAAGTGTATAAAGCATCTCTGAGCTTTGCTGCATAAGTCTGTTGAAGAGGAAATAAGCAGTAATGGAAAAGACAGCTGGAGAGAGAGATATTTTTCATGCTGTGAGAAAGTTATATTCGCTTTTGTTGACTTAAGGGAGAAGGAAGGCAGGAACAGAGCATACTGTTCCCTTGAGAATTATCCAGCTCAGTCAGCCTGCTGACATAATTCATCAGATTTTAAACCTAAAAGTCCACTTCTTTTAGAGTTGATGTACACTAAAAATGGAAATGCTTCTCCGGTTTGGAAATGGATAAAAACAACTGAAGAGTAGTGTTTTGAGATTTGCAGACATGCTGTAACATAGTTTTGTCTTCGACATGCACAACTACAGGTTTCACCACTTTCCTGTTTGTAGCATATTTTTGACTGTGTTGATGTAACTGGCCACCATATTACCAAAAATGCTTCTGCTAAGTTAAAAACCACTGATAATGGAAAAGCACTAGTGGTTCTTCAGCTGTGGAATGCAAGTCATGTGATATTATTAAAACATGGGAAAACTTGCCCTTTGTGTATTGAAATCATAATGAAAACGTTCTGTGCCTGTTTCTGCATGACAGGCATCTAAATTTGGCTTAACTTTGACTTAACTTATTCAAAACAGAGCCTGGTAGATAAGTAACTTATTACAAAACAATCATCAGCTTTTTGTCAGCATTTTTATTTTATTTTAGTGAAAGCTAAAAACTGGTTTGCAAACGAGTCAAAATACAAATATCTAATGCCAAAGAGTCAAAATACAAATATCTAATGCCAAAGCCTGATAGATCTCAATATTTAAAAGAATAGACAATGGACAAATACTGCCTTGCATCAAAATAAAAATAACAGATGAAGGTATTAAATTCTGCAGACTATGTTTTATTCCCACCACCGCCTAAATAAAATGACAAATTTGAGACATTTACTTACATTTGGTTGTAATACATTAAGTATTAAGTTTTGTGGCCTGTCAGAAAACAAAAACACTTGCTCTTAGATCAGATCAGATTAGATTGCTGTTTTATAATTTGTCTTTAAAGCTCTCTGTGGCTTTGCTCCAGGTTACATTTCAGATCTCCTTAGCCTGCACCTAACCACTCCAACTCTGCGTCCTCCAGTCAAATACTTATGTGGGTCCCATGCTCCCATTTAAAATCTAAAGGTGACAGGGCTTTCTCTGTTGCTGCTCCAAGACTCTGCAAGTCTTCCCTCTTTTATATAGTTCTCCTTCTCATTGGAAATCTTCAACTCAACTTGAAGACCTGCCTATTTTCACAGGCTTTTGGATCACTTGGAAACACACACACACTTCACTATGCTGTGGTTGTTTTTTAATTCTTATATTAGCTTTAGTGTAATTGAAAATACTTGAATGAATCAATTGTGTTTATTTTCCAGGTCTTCCTGAAAAGTATTACAGTTTAACCTGGTTTCTCAGTCCTATCCTGGGTCTCCTCTTCACACCTCTGATTGGGACAGCCAGTGACCGCTGTAGCCTGCGATGGGGCAGGAGAAGACCGTTCATTCTGGGTCTTTGTGTAGGTGTACTGCTGGGAGTGGCACTGTTTTTAAATGGTTCATTAATAGGTGAGTGCAAGGCTTCAAGGGAGATAATCTGCTAACAAATCATAAAAAATGCAGTTCACCAAATCCGGTCTGTGTATATTTTGTGGTATTCTCTTCAGGCCTTTCCGTCGGCGACACTCCCAATAAGCATACTATCGGCATCGTTCTTACTGTGCTGGGCGTGGTGGTGCTGGACTTCTGCGCTGATGCCTCAGAGGGACCAATCAGAGCTTATCTGCTGGATATTGCAGACACAGATGAGCAAGATATTGCGCTGAACATTCATGCATTCTCTGCTGGTAAGTCTATGTAGATTTTTGGAGGTTTCGTTCTCAACATTCACAAGACTGTGAACCAGGAATTCATTCAGCGGGGATCAGACTGTCAACATTCTTAGGTATCTGGACACCAACACACAGTTCACCACGCATACTACAGCTACTTCGTCCTCTTTCCCAGAATGAAATTTAAGTTGAAGGCTCACCTCTTTGACACAGTGGAGGAAAGACATGGACCGTGTAATTTGAATGTTTACATGGATGCAGAAAGCGAATGTTCTGAACATTATCAAATCTGAATACATGCATAATGTTAGGATTACAGTTACACAACCCTCCATACATATTTACAAATAATAATGCTACACTAATCCCCTTATACCTGTCTCTTTAGGGCTTGGTGGAGCAATAGGATACATGCTTGGAGGTCTAGACTGGACTGGCACAGCTCTGGGCCAAGCATTTCAATCACAGGAGCAGGTTCTCTTCATGTTTGCAGCCATCGTCTTTATTATCTCTGTCACACTGCACATGTTCAGTATCCCTGAGCAGCCCTTCAGTCCATCAAACCAGGTTAAAGACACAGAAAATGGGGATTCTACTGGCCAGGTATCTTTGAAGCCAGCTGGCCGCACACTGGATGTAATTACAGAAGAGGATGCTTCTGCTCGAGCTCGATCCAGAGACGACCCTGAATCAGATCCTAAGGAAGTGGAAATTGACTTTCTTGCTGTGGAGCGAGTAAGGAGTAAAAGTGATTCAGTCTTAGCCATGCCAGATGCTACAATTGAGTTAGATGCAGACCTTGACCCAGACACACAAAATTTCTTGCCAGAGACACACTTTCAACCTGAAATGCAAGAAGACCTTGAAGATGTTTTCAAACTATCAGATTCCAGTGCTGAAACTCCACCTTCTGTCGGACCACAACCCCCTCCTGATGGGATGGCCGACGTGACGCCTATAAGTTCAGTTTTATCTGAACTTAAAGATTCAGCAAATGGTCATCCGTCCTTCCAGCAGACCAACTGGGGCTCAGAGGATTCCCAGTTGAAACTGGTAAAATGGCTGCTGTGATCAAATATGGTTTTTGTTTGTTTTTTAGCTTATGGTAACTTTGAGACAAACAGTGTTCCTTCAGTAATTTGTACCACACTGCCTCTCTCTTCTGTCCTAGCAGGCCAAACCTGCCAATGGTTCTGAGTTCCCCAGTGTTATGAAAACCCATGGCACCAAGCCGGGAAACCATACATCCAGTACACGGCCAGGCAGACCCACCTACTACAGACAAGTATGGTTTAATTTATTGTTTAATCTTTAATTGACAACATAGGTTATTTTGCAGATGTATAAAAACTGATTTTGGTGGGTTTTTTCTCTTCAGCCCTCATTTACCTTTTCATATTATGGTCGAGTTGGAGCACAACGGCATCGAATGCGACACACAGGACATTTCACCCCTCGGCCAATCACCACGTCCCAAAGTTTGAATGATTTAAGCATCATCCAGCGGCATACAGACAGACGACGGTTGCAGCTTTCAGCCAGCAGTGTGTCATCTGAGGGCTCAAGCAGTGAGGGAGGAACAGACAAGGGTGGGAGTGTACGGCTGCTGTGGTTGTCCATGTTGAAGGTGAATTTCTTCTTCATTCTCCTACTACAGCACTGGATTATGTCAACAGAGATGATTGATGTTCCAGTAATAAATACTGCCTGTATTACTTTCACTCTAGATGCCCAGTCAGCTCTGGAGATTATGTGTGTGTCACCTGCTCACATGGTTCTCCATTATAGCTGAAGCTGTGTTTTATACAGATTTCATGGGGCAGGTTATTTTCCAAGGAGACCCCAAGGTATACACACAAGCACACACATACAGATACCTTCCAAATCCCATCTGTATTGTTGTTGAAGCACTACCTGACATCATTTGGTATTTTGTATTCCTTGGAAACCACACAGTAGTGCAGTGGACTTAGCACATTGCTGCGATCACCCTGAGAGACCACAAAGCTCCTGCATGGAAAAATATAAAGTGAAACTAAGTTGAACCTTTTGTATCATTTGTCATTTAAAGGCAGGCATTCCAGAAAAAGTTTGAGGACCACTGCTGTATAAGAACAGACAAACAGCTTACCACATTTTACAATTTATGAGTATAAGGCACTAAAATGTCAGTGGAAGTCAAATCGTCAGTGTTTCTACTTTTTGTCTTTTTTCTTTAAGGCACCAGCCAATTCCACAGAGCTACAAAATTATCACAAAGGAGTACAGATGGGCTGCTGGGGACTGGTGGTTTATGCTGCTACTGCTGCTGTCTGCTCTGGTAAAACTCAAACAACTTCATTTTTTTATAGAACTATTCAGCTAACTACTCAGTGAATGACAGTTTTTCTCCACCCAGCCATCCTTCAGAAGTATCTGGATCATTTTGATCTCAGCATTAGGGTCATCTACATTCTTGGGACTCTGGGATTCTCAGTAGGTGAGCTGACTTATTAGAATAGTTGAAATATGAGTATAAATGTTGTTAGCCTCTGTAAAGTTACTTACGGATTGAATTCCCTCTCATCTTAGGTACTGCAGTCATGGCAATCATCCCTAATGTTTATGTTGCGATGGTGATGATCAGTACCATGGGCATCATCTCCATGAGTATCTCCTACTGTCCCTATGCATTACTTGGCCAGTACCATGAAATAAAAGAGGTATGATCACACTTATGTTCCTGGTGCATACTAAAACCATTATGGTCAAATCTGAGGTTGTTTGACCAAATGTGCTGTAATTCAGTTCAATTCAGTTTTATTTATATAGTGTCAAATCACAAAAATTAAAAACAATCCTTATATTTAAAATTGTGTTAATATCCCCAATTACTTTTGAAAATGATTGATGTGTCTATAAATGGCTCCAGTTTTTATAGTTTCTAAACAGTTAATGCAATAATTCAATTAAACCACTTTAATTAATTACTATTTGTTTTGAGCCTCTTCCCCATTTATTCAATTAGAAACATCTGTCGTTTCAGTATAGTTACAGTCTTTCCTGTCATGCTTCTTTTCTCAGTACATTAACCACAGCCCAGAAAACACTCGAAGAGGTTTTGGGATTGATTGCGCTATTTTAACCTGCCAGGTAAGTACTGTACCAAATTAAGCTGACCCTGATGCATAAATTCAGGTTACACTGAGCAAAATGAGAAACGTTCAAAAGTGAAACGGCATGTTTAGGTTTTTGTAAATAGTCTGGTTACAGTATTTCCTCTTTCAGGTTTACATCAGCCAGATTTTGGTTGCATCAGCACTTGGATCTGTGGTAGAGGCAGTTGGCAGTGTGCGTGTCATTCCCATTGTGGCCTCTGGGGGTTCTTTCCTTGGCTTTCTTGCAGCTTGTTTCCTTCTCATTTATCCTGATTTGGAGCCCAGCAGCTCAGAGCAGGACGAGGATTCGGTGGGTTTTCCTGGAGTAGAAGACCAGAATGCAGAAAATACCAGTGAGCAGACACAGGCTCTGCTGAAACTCACAAACACAGATACAGAAACGGAGAGTTTGAATAAGATGGAAAACCACTCTTCTACTTGAGCATGACCATACAAAGACTTGTTTAGGATTATGCTCATCAAGCAGAAATCACAGGATGTGAGGTTTTTACCAAATGCATCTACTTGATTTACAGATTTTACATTCTGGACCTTTCTGAAGGAAAGATCAGAAAAAGAAAAAAAAGACATGGCGGAAAGTTAGGTCCATATTAAGATATCAAGGTGGAGCTGAGCTGGAACAATTATTTGCTTTGTGTACTAACAGAAATAAGTATTTCAGTTTTGATATGTTTCATTTGTCGTACTACCTCAGCTCTAATGCAAATAAATTTCCAGCTGCTTAGATTTAAAGAAGCCATTAGAATACCAAAAGACAAATGACAGCTATCTGTTGTGACTGTTGAAAGTAAATTAGATGGTACTACTGAAACAAACTTTATTGAAAAATGGATTTAAGAAGCACACAGGGCACTTTCTGTCTCTCTTCTGAATGCTGATGCTGCAGAGTAAAGTAATGTCTGACACTTTACATCATAGAAGCTGTTCTATAACTGCTTAATAGACAATCTTGATGCTGTAAAAGTTATGTGTATTCCTGCATTACCTGCAGGCTAAATGCAGATGCAGAAAACATTTTTCAATTTCTTGCTGAAGTGCCTTGAGATTATATTTTTGTTTAAGCTCTTTTTGATGCCAGATATTAATGTTGCTGGCTTTAATGCAATGGGATTCTGTCATTTAGACATAGGTCACTTTAGCTCACTCAGTATTTTGTCATGTGTGCATAAGGTTTGTTGCATTTGTGCAAACTGTTGTTGTCAGTATTGTCTCTGGCAGATAATTGGAATTCTCTTTGGGCATCTGAGAGGTTCCATAATGCATAATGTGTGTCTGTTGTTGACCACACAGAGACTTTCAGAGTTGTGGAGACTTTTTTGTGTTTACTTGAACGAAAGGATTTTTTTTAGTCGCACCATTGAGATTTTATCCTCAGTTTTTCAATTCTGCAAACGAAATCTAGGCTGTTTTGAACTTGAGTAAGTTCATGAAAATCAGGTTCCGTGGCAGAGTTAAAAATGTGAAGGACAGCAGACAAGTGATCATTGCTGAAAGAGGTTGTTTATCTTTATTTGTTAAACGTCAGGACTGAGAATGTTTGTAAAAAACATCTCTTTATGTGTGGAAGGCTATCCTCTTTGAAGAATAAAAGAATAAAAATCCAGCAGTCACACTGACTTCAAGTGAAAGTGTAACAAAGTGAGTCAGCGCTCTTACCCTGATGAAGTTAACTATTTTAGCCGAAACATCAACAGCATAGTTAATTTTTAGCAGTGACTTACACAACACCTTCTGGTGTATTTAATAGTGCAAAAAATGCCAATTTCAGTTCTAGGTTCATTTCTCTCACTTTATACTGTATCTGATTCAAAAGTCAGATGTTTTTTCCTTTCAGATTTGGACAGCCATCGCTTTTAACACCTGCCAGTTTGTCCCAATTTAGCCCCCAGCTTATCAATTCATGCAGTTACCTCCATGAACAAGTAACTCCCTGTCACAGTCCCTTTCATAGAGTGCATTTCTGCCAGCTCCTTTGTAATCTCACACTCTTTTGTTATCCCACGTACAAAGATGAGAAACTGGGCTGTGTTGCGGACCTAACAGCGCTCATCCCGAACTGAAGTGAAAAGTTAAAATTGTCTGGCTAAAGCCTCACATTTTTCACAGTGTCCTTGATCTGTCTTGTTACTATTTGCATATTTTCAAATACTTCTTTTATCTCAGGGCTAATTAGCCAGGCAGAGTCCACCAAATACTCTTTGATAAACTCCTCATCTGAGAACATCCTACTAGTTGTGGGTAGACGAGGCCTCGTGAAGCGTTTCAGCACATTCCCCAAACTGTATCGTTACTATGTCGACACATGTTGTTGTTTTGCTCCATACTGACACCTGCTGGACCTTAAATATCATTGCAGGCAACTTACTTGAGACTCACAACAGACACTGATTCAATGACCTACTCATACTTGTATACTCTGTAAGGTATTGTACTTTCCATGGAATCATTTTATATCTTTTACATTTCAAATATTGTCTTTAAAATATATTGTGAATGACATTAAGTGAAAATTAAAATGAAAGTATTGTGAATGTAATATTACCCATTTAAATGTAATTGACTCAGAGTTTATTATAAATTTCTATTCAGAAAAATACGTTTATCCAATGTTGTTGCATTCAGTCTATTGCGTTTTTTTGACACCATTTCCCCAGCTTTGGAAAACATACGCTCACGGGGCACAGATGAAACTGGGGTACACAAAAACTGTAAAGCCAGGTGGAAAAGGTTCGGATAAGACGTCTTCCTATTCCCCCAGTACGTTAAAGGATCCTCTGATCTTGGAATGTTTCTCTCTGCCAAGTAGCTGGACCTCAGTGATGGAGTCCGCTGTTGCATTGTTGGTTTGTCTGCCAACTTCTTCATCGAGCTGCAGGTTTTCTGAAATAATAAAAAATGCATGGCCATTTTAGTTTTTGTCATCTACCCCAAATTAGTATACATTAGCATCAAAATAAATGTAAGAATAAGCTGATAATACTGAACTTGTCTGGAACAGGTGACTGCTCTGATGAAGGTCCAGGCTGTGGCTCAGATGCTGTGCGGGACTGCAGCACACTCCATTTTCAGGCGACTGACTGCCTTACTACACTTGGAGGAACTACGAAATCCGAGTGTTTTAAATCTGGGGTCTAAAAGGGTTGATAGGGTCAACACACTTAATGACTCCAGGTTAGAAGCAGTGTCTGTGACATGACGCCTAAGTTGGTCATGGAGATGGGTGGCTGTTTGTGTGCGTAGATGTAAAGAGTTCCGGTCAAGTGCACAATAAAGCATTTTCATCATCGGGATGATCTTTGATCCTGAAACTCTCCTCAGACAACTCCACTGTGGCCTGATGGAAAGGGGCCAGCACAAGAAGTGCTTCCCTTATGATGTTACACTCATCAGCCGTAAGTGGAGTTAAATCTGTTGAAGAGAAGCAACAGATACCCAGACTGGTTCTTTCTCATCATGTAGCCGTGACAGCATCTGATATGTGCTGTTCCAATGTGTTGGTACCTCGTTGATAAGTTTCAAGATGGGCCGTCCCATCTACTGCTACACTTTGGCAAGCTTTTCTTTGGCTGTAGTGCTGGATCTGAAGAATGATACGATTTGTCTAGATTTGTCTCTTATGGATGAAAGTTCAGGGATTTGATAACATGATTTCTTGACTAATAAATTTATTTTGTGTGCAATGCAAACTGAATGTCGACTTTGGAGAGTTCTTGTTGCTGCAATCATGTTTGGTGCTGTCGGTCAGTGGACACCTTACCTTATTTGTGATGGCCCAGTCATCCATCATGCCTGTTTTGAATTGGGCCAAATTGTCTGCAGTGTGACTTTGTGGAAAGTGTTTCACACCCAACACAGATGTACACAACTGCATATTCTCATTAATGTAGTGACAGGTAAGAGCCAAGTAAGCCTCCATGTTCAAAGAGGTCCACATGTCAGCTGTTATACTCACTGCCACAGCTTGCTTTACTTCCATTTTCACTCGTTCGAGTTCCTCCGCATGTTTTTTGGCTATCAATTCCTTGATGGTCTGAAGATGAAACAAAATTAAATCAGTATGCAGTACTTAACATCAGCTACCTGATGAGACTTTGTCTATACAAACCTTTCTGGTTGGCAAAACGTATGATGGATCACCTGAACCAGCCCCCTGAACCCCTCACTCTCCACAATACTAAGGGGTTGGCAGGCCTTTATAATAAAATTCAGGACTGCCTGGCCCAGAACAGTCTTCCTAGATGCTTGATTTCAAAATAATAAAACACATATTAATAAAAAAATTATGATAAAGCTGCTCAATGTCTATATAAGCCTACCTGTGTTTGTCTCTTCATTTTCATGTTTGGCTCTGTAATGCCTAAACATTGAGGAGGTGCTTTTGTTTGTGTAAGAAAGCTCCGCAGAACAGATGCGACATTTAACCTGCATAAAATGAAAAACATAATTTACACTGCAGGTCACACTGTTGTTTTTCCTATTCTGATAGATTACACTGAAACAAAGACAGACAAACAGTTAAAATATCGAAATGATCCCACACAGCAGAAACGTTTCTTTTTCTTTCCTTTCGGGCTCCATTTTGTTATATAGAGATATGTATTTTTTTTTTTAATCTTTGCGAGAGTAATTTTTTTTCTTTTTTTGGGGGGGGGACCTCATTCCGTTGACAGATGCGGACAGGATGCTGAAAAAAGGAAACTTACTATTTATCGAAAATCATAAATTTTCCGTGAAAAGTCAGACACGTAGATATCTCCTGAGCGGTTAATCCACTCAGATAGGGCTCTTTGTAATGGGTGTAACCTTTTACATTGAATTCATGTAATAAAAAATCACCACAGTAAGTTCCAAGATTGTATTTGTGTTTAATATGAGCGTTTTGTAAATATAATACATTAGAATAAACACGTGTTTCGTTAATTGTTAAAGATTGTTCCAGTCATTCATACAGAGCCCAGTTACGCTTTATGCACTCTTTAAACCTAACGTGTGTTGAAGTCCATAAAAGCTTTTTGCGCTTCCTCAAATATTCAGTGCGCATGTTTGAACATGTTTGAACTACAATAGCGAAACAGGAAGCAGACCGCGTTAAAGGGAACTATCTGGGATGAGTTTGTTTCATTCAGCTCCGCATCGGCGTTATTAATGTGAGAGCGGAAAAATAAGGAGCTGCGAAGCCTGTGAGTGAGGAGGTGAGTGACAAGTCAGAAACTTTAACACACCATTAGCTGTGTGTGTGTGTGTGTGTGTGTGTGTGTGTGTGTGTGTGTGTGTGTGTGTGTGTGTGTGTGTGTGTGTGTGTGTGCTGTGCAAACAGAAGCATCTCACCCGTTTAGCGTGTGACTCGGAATCACATGTCACAACATCTATACAACAGTTATTGCTAAACTTAAAGTGTGGCACTTTAATGTTCTCTAGGAATGCAAGTGCCGATATACAACTATACATTGTGACCTTTATACAGAAAAAAGCATATGCTACCTTCCATCATAACAGTGGCAATGATCTGACTTGGACATTATGTTTCAGGGGCTGCATAGTTTTAAGGCAGCTTAGGATGGCCCCAGCAGTAAAACAATAAAAAGAACAGTAAAAATTAAAACAGTAAAAAGAATCATTGTTAGATCTCAGTGAGCCGTTTTGACTGCACTTTAACCTCATCTCGATCGTTGGTAACAGTGCCACTGTTCAAGCTGAACCCTGTTTGATGCACTTTTCACAATTAGTATGGGAGCAGATCAAAGGGGACATCATATTTTAGGCATCAGGCAACTTTAGGGCATTTTCCACTAAACTGATAGTAAAAATCACAATGTTCCTTTTTAAATCATGTTTACGTCTGGCTGCTATCAAGCACTTGTATCTAAGATACAAGTGTTCATGTAAACGATTGTGTTGTGGCGGTATCAGAACATGTTACACTTGCCTTGATATGTGCTGTGGTGGTTTTGTGTGGAATTTACCCTTTTTTCTCCAGGGGTCATGTGACTGTACTGCATAAAATGATAATCACATCACTGAAAGAAGCCGTCTGCATGTGTATGCAGCATGCTTTTGCAATAATACTTTATTTATTCTTAACATTCTTGGTGTTGTCCAGTAGCTGTTAATTTAGACTAAACAAGGGGATAGTCTCACCCTGTTCCCATGGTTACTTGGTCATGGTTAAGATATTGTTAGAATGAGTTGATTGAAGTGCTCATGTCCCTGTGAGAGCATTTAAAGTACTTTCGTGCCGCTCAGATTCTAAGAAAGTCCTTTTAGTCTTTTAACTATATCAAAGCCAGCTGGTAGTATATCAACTCATGTAGCCCTCATGTAGAACTTGTGGCCTACTTCTAAGTAATCTCTGCTTTCTGTGCATGTTTCCATCTTCCTCTGCACACATGATCCCAATTTTCCAGGAAAAGACTAGACTGTCTGGACCATCAGGGAAATGTGATGTGGTGATTAAGCTCTAAGGAAAAAGAAGCAGATGATAAAGGGAATAGGATGCCTATTGATAGGATTTACAATACTAATACTACTACTACTACTAATACTACTACTAATAATAATGCTCTGTACAGCCAAAGATAATAATACAACGTAGACAGAATTGTGGAAACTGTGCTACAGGAAATATATGCGGTGCAATGACATATACTGTCCATACTTTCCACATGTAATCGTGTAAAGTATGGCCTCACTTTGCATTTGCTTTATGGTTGCCTTCAGATTAAAGCTGCAAGGCTCCATTTTCTCAATATTATTGGCCATTTATTGTTGTTCATTTTACAGGCCACAACATATTAATATGCTTGTTTCATTAACAAGTCTGAGAGTTAAACAACAAACATTAAAGGTTTAGCTGATGAATAAATTGTAGTGAAAAATTTGGACTGTCCACATCAACTTTGTTTATAACGCACTTACAAAGTGATGTACGGTGCTGTGACAACCAGAGGGCTGTTAGTCATCATGGCGAGGTTCATTTTATATTCTCACAGAGCTCTTTGAGCACTTAGTCAGCAGGTTTAAACTTATGATGTCAACACCATGTCTCAGGAGTTTTGTTTTTTGTCACGAAAATGGAAAAATTATGCTTTTATTTGGCAAATCCTACCATTCTTTAGTGGTATCAATCTGTAAAATCAGTCAGACAGTGATGGTTTCACATGTTAAAGTATGAAAGGGAGAAATGTTGTGATATAATTTTATATGAAGTTAAAGCCCTGTGCATTTAACAAGAGTAACAAGAGATGCTTTACTCTGTATCGATACTTTTCTCTTTGAATTAATTTCAACCGACTATGGAGGGAAGTGCAAAAACAAGTGCACAACAGAATCATTCAGCATGTTTTATGCAATGACATGGTGTTGTCTCACTGGTTTCTGAGAAGTTTTCATCTGAGCCATTTTTCTTATGATGCTAACAAAAACAGCGACTCTAATAATGAGCTGGAACAGCCGCTCGGTCATGTGTTATAGCTTTATTTAGCTGAGAAGTGTTGTTTTTAAAGAGAAGGATGACGATCAGAGAGCTTAGACAACTGTCTGATTTACTACTACACAAACAAGTTTAAGTGTATTTTTTGTCTTCTATTTTTACCTCCTAATGTGTATCTAATTTCTGGCTCATTTTACTCTAGCCTGCCTCTCTATTTCTCTAGATCCAGCACATCTGAGTAGACCCTTGGTCAGGTGTATTCTCCCAGGTCGTGGATTGGTTTCAGAGATGGCAGACTCTTTGCTGCCTGCTCTGCTGGAAGCCTGCGTGGTGGTTGGAGCATCCAGTGACAAACTCCAGGAAATCTGCCAGGTTTTTGCCTTAAAATACACTCCGATACACAAATGTTTGACATAAGTAATTTACTATAAACTGATAAAAGGGTGATGGTAATGATAAACAGAAACCTTTACTGGTTATATCAGCAAAGTTCCAGTTTAGGTACAGTATGAGAAAGGACTCTCCTCCCCCTTCCCACCCTCTTAAATCTTTCCCATCTTCTGCCCCACTCAGACCATTAACGATGATGAAACTCTCGAACACCTCCTGTTGGAGCCGGAGGTTCTTTCAGTCTTGGCGCCACCTTTTGTTAGCAGAACACAGGCTGAAAGTGAAATGCTAAGATCACATGGGAAGCTGCGGCGCTCTTTTATCAGGAAAAAGAGAGAACTGCCTCCTTCAGCTGCACCAACACCCAGTCAAGGTCTGGTACATTTGACCCATAAATACACCAGTTGGAACATGAGAAAAAAACCCCACTTTATTATTAAATACAAAACAGTTATTGATCTTTAATATCGTATTTCTTCATTTTACCTATCTTACCATAGATTTTTTGTGTCTTGGAGTTTTTATGTCTCTCCAACCAGCTGCCTTTTTGCAGGTGGAGATGAGGCAGGTCGAAGAGGAGGAATAGAAGATGTCAGTGTACCTAAAAACATCGATCTCATGGCTTTACCTCAGCTCTGCTTCCCCGGTAAAAGGTTTTCCATAGCACACACAACGTCACACACAAAGACGACTCACTCACACGTATAGTACATATACACATGCACAATGCACGATGAAAGCTCATGTTACTGACGTCCACTGGAACATGGTAATGGTTCTTTTAATGGGGATGAAACATTCAGATGGCGGACATTGGCAAACTTACAACAAACATTTGTATATGGTGTTGAGCATATGCTACTGGCAGGATCAACCAGGTAGCCCCTCGGGCGGCGGCGGTACCGCTGCGTGCGTGCGAGAGCGTTCGCTCGGGGCTACTGAGTTGTGTTGACCAGGGTGAGGCTTTCTGGATGCAAATATGGACCGTGGTGAGGGTTTGAGAAACCGTGTTTGCCAGACAGAGCCCCGTTGACTTTGGGGGAGCAAACTCTGGGTTTACCTACCCCTCTGACAAGGCCACCGTGGTATCTATCTCACCGAACCTACCCAGGGTGTACCCTGCCTCTCGCCCTATGACAGCTGGGATAGGCTCCAGTGCCCCCCGCGACCCTGAAAAGGATAAGTGGAAGTGAATGAATGGATGGATGGATGGACAAGTGAAGTACCAAAGAAGCGGTAGACCTAAAAACAGTCTACAGCATATGAAAGTCACATCCTTATGAAATAAGAAAAAATCCACCAAAGACCTGACACACGGACTCAGAGATGCATCTGACCTTTCAGCTGGTCCATCTACTGTTCACTGAAGCCTCATCAGAAATGGTCTCTGTGGAAGGGTGGCTGTTATGAAGCCTTTCTTCAGGAAAGGAAACAGGGAGAAAAGCCTCAGGTATGTCAAATTACTCAAGAACTGGAGTGAAAATCAGTGGCAACCGCTCTGATAGAGTGAATCTACAGAGGAGAACAGGAGAGAAGTACAACAGTGAGTGTCTACAGGCATCGGTAAAAATGGTGGAGGTGCTTTCGTTGTTTCTAACTGCATGTTATTTTGATCCACCATGCAACACCAGATCATTAGAATAGTGCAAATTCTGTTTTTGCCTTATATACTGTATGTCCATTCATGTTTGCATGTTTCAATACATTTCTGCACCTGTTCCCTGTTTTTCTAGCAAAATATAAGGAATGAAGAAATATGGGTGA